TAAATCAAAACATCTAAACTCAAACCTAAAAATTTTTAGGTTGAACAATTTTAATTTTTGGGGTCGGATTCAATATTGACAGCTCTAATATTTTTGTATAAACAAAGGGTTTGTTGTTGCATTTGATTATTTATATTTTTTCGATACATATATGCAGAATTTAAAAGAGTTGCATAAAGTAAATTTTAATGTACATGCTTTGTATTTTATAATTTTGTATGCGTAAACAATACTTTATATATAATATTTTCAATTATTTATTATTCTATTAATATATAATTTATTTTTTTTTATTTTTTGTGAATTCAATAAAAATAATAAAAAATTAAAATATGATACCCCTCCGTCCTACTAAAATATTATCATTTTCTATTTTCGTCTGTCTCAAAATAAGGTTATTATTTTCTAATTTAATAATAGTACTATTTACATAACATAATAAATACTCTTTCAACTTACAATATATTACACAAATGTCAGTACTTTTATATTACACCATATTAATAAACGTATTTTTGTCTTTTTTACTATAATACAATATAATATTATAATTTACGTGCAAAAAACAAATGTCATCCTTCCAATAAGACGAAGGAAGTATAGATTTTTAGACAACTTAACGATTAATAAAACTTTTTATCAATTAATTGTTATAGATTTTTTTATGAGTAATCGATGTTAAAAAATATTAAATTTAGTATTAAAATCTCCGTGAGTTATATGCTTGTTTATATATATTTGATAGGGGTTTTGATTCATGTTTTCTCATCATTTTGGGATTTTTTTTATTTATTTAAATATCGTGTAAAATTATATATTTAAAAAAATATATATCTTACATAGATTTTTTTAAATAAATAAATAAATAATAAATTCTTTATTTTTATAGTTTTTTTAAAGATTATATAGCATTTTCTCTCTAAAAAATTATAAAATAAATGATTAATAAATTATTTATTTATTTTATTAAAAAAGACTATTTAATATATTTATTTTTTTTATTTGTATAAAATTTGTGTAATTAGGTTTTTATGTACACCTAAACATCAGCTTTCGGACGAAAAGAGTGTTTTATGCAAATTTTAATTTAATACAAAAGAGTTTCACACAATAAATAAAATATGAGATATTCGGTGCATTTTTACTAAAATACGAAGGAGTTTTATATAATTTACCTTTTAAATAAGTTTGTTTGTATTGCAAGATATAGATTTATAATTTCAACTATTTATATATATATATATCTTACTTTATAATATTTTCGATGTAATTCTTGTTTATGACGGTAATATTGATGTTGTCAAAGAACTATTAAAAGAAAGATGTTACATATTGTTGTTATTGTTTAAACAAGCCTCCAATTTATCCAAACTACACGCATACGGAGAAGATATATTAAAAAATTTCATAGAATCAAATAAGATAATTAAATTGTAAGTATATATAGATATTTTATTATCTATATTTTAGATAGAAAAAAATTTCTCTTATTAAATCGGAAATGAAAATTCGTCAACAAATATTCTACTGTCAAATCCATAGTAACACGTATATCATATTATGTATATATGATTTTTAATTTCCCAACCACATTTTTTTGGAACTATTTTATTTTAATAAATTGGATTTAGATAATTTGTAAAATTATTTTTCTTTTTAAAATTATTTTGGATAGAATTGTTGTTTGTTGCTACAATAAATATAGATAGGTTTAAAGTTTGTTGGATTAGGTTAGATTTTAATTATATAAATTATTCTCGTGATACAAAAATGTAAATCAACCTATTGTTGAAGATTGTCCAGGCGGAATCCGACCTCCCAATTGCTCTCTTTATTTTTCTTGCCCTCTTTATTCTTTTTTCTTTGATTCATTTTAATTTTTTTCCTTCCACTTCTTTAAATTGGTAAAGACGGTGGAAAATCGGTTAATTATTTAGTTGATGGAATTTTAATTTTAATTTAAATTAATAATTTTTTAACCGATTTTTTGATGAGTTGAAATTCATGTGGGTTGTATGGTGGTTATATATAAATAGCGTTGTTAGAGATATGAATGCTGGTAAGCCACAGGCATGCGTGCTACCTATTGGGACCAAATAATGACAAATACACGAGCACGAGTTTTATCTCGGGCTCAAAAGTCTTGGTCGCGGTCTTGATCGTGGGTTGGACTTGAATTTGGTGAATGCTAGACTTGACGAAGTCTATTATGCTGTGAAACCAAATTAAAACAACAAAATATTTTCTCAATCCCAAGAAAATTTATTTTTGTTACACAAGAATATAGCCCAAAAATCATAAATTAATGCATGTATAAATTATTATTTGAAATTCAAAAATTCAAATAATATATTTATAATCAAAATTAAGTTTGGTGTTTATGGACGAACGTTACCAAAATTATGACTTGTGGTTACTGGACATTAAGCGCCGGCGATTTCGGTTCGACAATAAATACCCCAAGGGTGGAGTGCCTATATAAGGTCATTCCCACCACTCCATTTAGTACATCGTTCAAAAGCTCTCATGTCAAATTCTCTCCCTCTGAGACTCTTTCATGCGAGTTTTCGGTAACTCTCCTTTCTGTTCAAGCTTCCCGACACAGTTCTAGTCCCTTCATTTTAGTTCTTCAGAGCTCTGAAATATTGGGGAGTCACCTAAGTCAGAAACAAATGTCGTTTTAACTTTGGGAACATTACGCCATGAACCGGAGGTAATACCATAACGTATTTATTTTTGCGAAAAATAGTTCTACCTCGATTAGATGTGATTATTGAATTGATTTTGATAAACTATATAGATATCGAATTTCTTTCGATAAATTATTTTGATTATCGAATTTTATTTTTCGATAATGGTTTGATATTCTCGCGATATATTAGTTTTCCAACAATCACAAAAGGAATATTTTGACATATTGTGAGAATATCATTGCTCGATCAAATTGCCAACATCATGTGTAAGTTTGGCCGGCGTCGACCTTCCTGTTGTGTCGACAGATGCCGGTAAGACAAAACAAAATACGGTTCTGAGTATTTTAATTTATGACATTATAGATTGGACCATGCTAATCTAAATGTTATAATATAATTAGTAAATTTCAATTTACTAAATATTAATAAAGTAAACCCTCAAACTAAATGTGAAGTTTGAGTTAAGACAAAATTGGCTAAATTACTGTTTATTTCAATAAAAAGACAAAATTAAGGCATTGGGTTTAATTAACATTGATATGTGTGATATAAAAAATTTGCATACTTGAGGTGAAAAAAATAATTTATCACCTTTATAAATAATTGCATGAGATATTGCTACTTTCACATATTTAGGGGAAAAGAGAAGTAATAAATGCCTTAAAAAAATAAGCAGAGAATCAGTTGAACTGTAATATTAAGGCAGTTCAAAGTGATTGAAGAGGCGAATGTGTAGCTCTGTATGAAGAATTATGTGGCATAGTTCATCATACTACGGCTTCATACTCTCCTTAATCAATGGAGTTACGGAAGTTATGAATGCATTGATTTATTTAGAATTACCCAAAAATTGTGAGGGGCAATTCTACCAACATATTATTTTGAATAAAGTTCCTCTAAAGGGTAAGGATTAAATTTCTTATAAATTGTGAAAGGCAAAAGCCCTTCATACAAATTTTAAAGTGTGTGGGGGGGGGGAGGGGTGACTAGTTAAAATGTAACTACCGTCTCCCAAGCAAGTCGTTGAAAATGCGGTAGATCGTGTAAAACTAGTAAAATTTTTGAACTATTTAAAATATACTCTCAACTTTGGTATATACTACACGAGATATCCTCCAACACTTGAAGGGTATTGTGATGCTAACGGGATATCTGACATGAAAAATATGTTGTGTACAAGCATATATGTCTTCATGATTGGAGGTTCACTACAAAAAAATTGCAGTTTACTCACGGAAATTACACACAGAATTAATTCCGTGAGTAATTACGGATGGATACTCACGGAACAACTCACGAAATCGATTCGGTGAGTAATTACTAACAGAATACGCATAAATTACTTACAGAAACAATACAATGAGTAATTACTTAAAAAATTGGATTTATTCACGGACTTATTCACGGAATTAAATTTTGTGAGTAATTACGGATGGATACTCACGGAACAACTCACGAAATCGATTCGGTGAGTAATTACTAACAGAATACGCATAAAATTACTTACAGAAACAATACAATGAGTAATTACTTAAAAAATTGGATTTATTCACGGACTTATTCACGGAATTAAATTTTGTGAGTAATTACGTATGGATAATCACGGAACAATTCACGAAATCGATTCTGTGAGTAATTACTAACAGAATATGCATAAATTACTTATAGAAACAATACAGTGAGTAGTTATTTCAAAAATTGAAATTTATTCACGGACTTATTCACGGAATTAAATTTCGTGAATAATTTCTCAAAAAATTGAAATTTACTCACGAATTACTCACGGAATTAAATTCCGTGAGTAAGTCGAAAATTAAAACCTTCCAAACTAAAGTTTCAGTTACGGTCTGACGGTTTCGGTGACGGTTTATAAATCGTGGATTTCGATTTAAAAACCAACGGTTTATATATACATACATATTTATTTTTAATAATTTTTATTTTATATTTTTTTCTAAATTTAAATTTATTTAAAAATAATTAATTTTAATATTATTTAGATAGATTTATTATTTATTTATTATGTAAAAATCATATATGTAACTATATAAAAAATTAATTAGATTGTTACAATATAAAAATAATTAAACTAATAAATTTAGTAAATAATTAAATTAAATTTTAAATTAAAAATAAAAAGAGAAATTATAAAAATATTTAATCACTGATTCAATATGAATATAAAATTTATTTCAACATAAAGTTTATAAATACGGTGCTGCTTTTCGCGCACATCATTTAAAAATTAAATTTTATATATTAAATGAGTTAAAATAATACTGATATCATTGTTCCTCTGCCCTACTTCGACAACTTCGTTTCCTCGGTAGTCACCATTCCGCTTGGGAGGGGCGCCGGGATCGTCGTCGGAAATAAAGCCGCGGGAATAATTTCTCATAGCTGTAGAGTAAGTGTTTATTAAAAACACGTTTCTTTCTCTCTTCATTCATACGTTTCTTTCTCTCTTCATTCATTTCTCCGAAATCTGATTTTGGTGGAGTTGAAGAAGCTTTTATCGATTTGCAATATGTTATATCTATAGATAACTATTTAGTTTTGTGTAGCATTCAATTGTTAGGTACAATTTCTCTAGTGTGTTAGGAATGTTTAACTTGAATTGTTGGATGGGGAAATATTTGCCAAATCTAATTAGAGTAACGAGTTTCTCAGATCTCAGCAGCATTGGAGGCGGCAGAGCCTTTGATATTGAAATGAGGCAATCAGGTTAGTTTCGAGGCTTCGTCAAAATTTGGTGAATTTTTCCCCAAACAATGTTATGCAATCATTTTTCTCGAATTTTAAATGCTTGAATAAGGGAATCGCAACGTGTTGTTTAAGTTTGTTTATTTCCAGCATATGCATATATTATACTTATTATATAAATGTATGCTTTTGGAATATATATAGTGTATGATTTTTTGAACTTGAGAATCATTTAACGTTGCCTACAATTTGCAAGGATTTTGATTTTTAGTGTTGTGCTATTCAGTTGTGCACTTTTTGACATGAATGGCAACCAAGTTCTCCAAAGTATTGTTACTAAAGTTGGATTTGCATTTAAGAAAAATCTTAAGGAAGTGGAATTGCATTTCTTGAATATATCATTTCTCTAAATACATAGCTAACTAATGCATTTCCCTTGGAACAAGTCTTCTAACAATACTCCTTTTTAGATGGATAAAGTGAGGAATTAACAGAGCAATGACATATCTATCAAGAAAGCAATATCAATTGTGATGGATAGGAACCCAAATTTAAGGTGCTAAAACTTTGTTTTTCTCTTGAAGCTCACCTTTTTGTAACAAAAGTCCAATGGTTGGTGTTTTTTCAGGCAAAAAGGCGTTTCGTATGAAGTCTTACAATGGTATATTTGTAGAATAGAGGCTTGGTTTGTTGCTGATGCAGAAGACATATTGCTGTAAGTATGGGACTAAGTATGTTTGGTTCCTCTTAGTATTCTCTTATTTATACTATAAGGCTTTTGGAATTAAATTTGAAGGGAAACTACAACAGTTAGTTTGAGAGGCTTCAGACTGTTTCCATCCATCGACAGTTCTTACTTAAGAGCCATGGATGTATGGATCAGTAATATATGTACACACACATACATTAAATACTGAAAGAGGAATTAAAGTCTTTAGTGTTTATATTATGATCCAGGGCTTTCAAGAGGAAATTCGAAGACAGAATGTTTGAATTTCAGGTACATTAGCTACTATTACATTTGGTGTAGTTCAGTATTCCTTTTATGTTATTTCAAAATTTTATTTGAAAATTACTTCTGTAGACTCTAAAAGAGAACAATACAACAAGATTATCGGTGCAGTTATTGAGAGGCGTGTATTTACAGGTATTAATACTTATCTAGGAAAGGGTCGTTTACGAACACTTCAAAATATATAAACAATTTTGATATTTTTATGTTTGACATGGTTTACAGTGACAAGAACTCGACCTGATGAAGCGGTGAAGCTAGTATTCCTTAGTATTTCATTTAAGATGTGTTAAAATATTTTCATTTGCTGAAATCATTCATCTTCAGACAGTTGAAAGATTGATAGAGACAGGGGACAGTGAGCAAATTTTTTAGAATGCAATCTGCCAGAAAAGCCGAGGACAGGTGTATGAAAACTCCCATTTGTTCGTTTGCCCATCCTCTTCCATTTTCTGCTTCTTCTCCATGGCAGTGTTTTATGAATTGTTGGCATATATAGAAGAAACACGACAGAGAATTTTAATTTAGGAGCCATATATTTGTCTCAACTATAAAACTAGACTAAATTTTTGCAACCATTAAATAACACATAGTATTGATGTAAATTATGTCATTTGAAATTCAAGAACGGCATGAAGCAGCTAAAGATTTAAAGAAAAGGCTTTTCGATCTGCAACAGGTATATTAGATTTTTCTCATATTGATTGATGATCATATGCATTAAAGTTTAGAAGTAAAGCTCATGTTTCTCAGAAAGTATAAGATGTTTCCCAAGGTTAAGATGAATTGATCCCCATATTTTTCCATGTGTTTCCTTTGATAATAATACCGATCATATGATCAATGTGAGGTTCTGAGCTGATTAGCTTGTTAGCAAATTCAGTTTATGATTAGTTTTCTGATACCCCAAATCCCCAACCATTCCTACTTCAAAATTTTAGATGAGATATACATTGCAAATCTGGCTATTTCATATGAAGCATAGCTGGGAAAATGAACCGGAGAAACGAATTGAAAACATCCATGAAGCCCTATAAGTTCTTGTCCTTATTCTAGTTTGATTGTACTAAATGCTTATAGCCTTTCAATTTATCATATCAATCCAGATTCATAGGCTCTGCATAATGTGAGATAGAAGAATTTGACTCTATTTTCATATTCCGTGAGGAACAATTTCGTCTTCCTTGTACAGTGGAAGGAAAGAGTACAAATAAGAAAGATAATAAAACCAAATGATTTACCTAAATTTACTGATTACCCTACTAAATTATCAATTTACTATTTATATCATACTAATAGTTCTATTTTACACTTTTTTATCTATTGTTTCTTATTTTCTTCTCTGTTTGCTAACTCCGTATCATTTATTTTGTTCCATTGATAAAGTTGGATCAAAATTCTAAGTGTGTTTATTTGGTGTTAATATTTTGAAGTGTTTTTTCTTTTTGGTGAGGTATTTTGAAATATGTGCAAAATTATTAAAATGTTAGATTTATCTCAAGTATTTATTTATGTTTGAGGATTTTGATAACTCTTTAGATGTATTTCTTAGCAGTTTATCTTTTTCATTTGTGTCAACAAGCTTATCCATTTTTAAAATTATTCAGTTTTGCTCGTGGTTAGGTTGCTCTAGCACATTCTTACTCGACGTGTCTCATGTTTCAATTTGGCAAGACACAGTATAGCCGTGATGAGGCTTTCTTTCATCGGTGCATCGGGATAAGAAGAAGAGGATATTTGGACTTAGGTTGCTAGCATCGATAGTGTCACCGGATCACAAATCATTCACTAGTGATGGTTGTACGCCTAGTGCTCCAACAACTGAGAGTCGGCTAGCGCGCATGGAGGAACGGTTTGGTCATTTTGAGAATTACGCCCGACGGGACCGCCATGACCTCGATGGCGAGTCTAGTGCTCCACCTGTTTGTTGATTTTCGTACTAAGTATTTGAACTTTAATATTTGACGGATTTTACTATTTCAAATATACGGTTATATTTACTGTTGTTTGTGGTATCCATCGATTATGGAACCATGTTTATAAATATCGTGTGATTCGATCGTATTTTGTCTATTGGATATTTGGTTTGATATGATTTACTTTGTGGTTTGGATTTGTGCTATTGTAATATATGATTTGAGACTGGTATGGAAAAATTAAAATATAAATTTTTGGGGGTCAGAAAAATTATTCACTCACAGAAATTATTTTGTCTCAAACATCATATGTCAATGTCGTAAGGGAAATTTATGTGAGTAATTCAGTAAGTAAATTATTCACGGAATTACTCATGGAACATTCCGTCGCAAGTAAGAGAGTTTTGTTGATTTTCACTCACAGAATTACTTACAAAATTTATTATTTGAGTAAATTTATTTACGGACAAAGTCGGTGAGTAATTATGTGAGTAAATTTCTCACAGACAGAATTTTGTGAGTAATGTTGTGAGTAATTTACTTACGGAATTACTCATGGATTTTTCTCGCAATGAATTGCTTACGAGGTATTTAGTAACAGATTACTTACGAACAAATTTTTGTGAGTAATTCCGTGAGTAATCAATTTACTAACGGATTTTTCATGAATCTCATGAAATTCCGTAAGTAATTTCCATGAGTAATCTGTTTATTTTTTGTAGTGGTTGAACAATTTATGAAAGACCACAATACAAACTTGTATGGCTCGATCTATTTTGGACAAACCAGTCCCTCCGGTAATGATATATTGTGATAGCCGAGCTTCGATAGGAAAGGCTAAAAATGAAATTTACAATAGTAAATTCTGACATATCCGACACGGACACAACACTGTGAGACAATTGATCACTAGTGGGGTTATGAATGACTATAAGTCAATAGAAAACCTTGTGGATTCCTTAATCAAAGGGTTATATCGTGATCAAATGTATAAACTGCTAAAGAAAATGGACCTGAAATTCACAAATTAAGAGACAATTACAGTGATAACCCAATCAAATCACTTAGAGATCTCAAACTTTGGTTTAATGGGAAAAATAAGCAATAATAGTTTGGCACGACTCGATCATCATTCCCTAAAAAACAACTAGTGTTACGAAGTGCAAAGTGGTGAAGTTGGGTCACTAATTTTTAATAATCCTAAAAGCAAAGTTGAATATTTTAAGATAGGATTATCTATATAAGTGTGAACTGAGGGCCTTTTTAAATGAAACACTTATGAATCCAAAGATGTGATCCATGACCGAAATTGATCAAAACGTTTTTTTATCAATTTCGGCCATGGATCACATCTTTAGATTCATAAGTGTTTCATTAGAAGTGGTCCTCACTTCGTTAACGTGAGAACAAAATGAGATTAAGATAGCGACATGTCAATACTATTGACTAAAATATACGCAAAGGTGGAATAATTCGATGCATCGTATCAACTAGGCCACGGGTACATACAATAATATTGACTAAGGAAGGTTCAAAGCCACAAGCTACCTATCCCGATGTGTCGATGTCTCTGGAACTGAGTTGTGTGTTGTCCTTATTTATGGGTCTTTTCACTCATATGGGGGATTTTTAGAAAGTCAATTAATTATTTAATCGATGTTTAATTTTAAAACTAAATTCATAATTTTTGGACCCAATTATATGGTGAGTAAAAATACATGTGGGTTGTATGGTAATTATATATAGTGTGGTTATGTATATGAATGCCAGTAAGATACAGGCGTACGTGTCACCTATCCGGACCAAATAATGACACAAATACGCAAGCATGAGTTTTATCTCTGGGCTCAATAGTCTTAGTCGTGGTTTTGGTCGTGGGTTGGGCTTAAGTTTGTTGAATGCTAGATTTGATGAAGTCTATTATGCTCCAAAGCCAAATTGAAACAACAAAGTATTTTGTTGAAGCTCAAGAAAATATATTTTTGTATAATAAAAAGATAGCCCAAAAATTATAATTACATGCATGTATGAAAAATTATTATTTGAAATTCAAAAATTCAATTAATATATTTATGACCAGAATTAAGTTTGGTGTTTACAATCGAACATTACCAAAATTATGACCGGAAATTTTGGCTCGACAATAAACATCCAAGGGTGGAGTGCCTATAGAAGCTCATTTCCACAATTCCATTTGGTACATCATTCAAAAGCTCTCATTTCAAATTCTTTTCCTCCGAGAGTTTTTCTGGCGAGTTTCCAGTAACTCTCATTTGTGTTCAAGCTTCCTGACATAGTTCTAGTCTTATCATTTTAGTTAGCAAGGGCTCTGAAAAATTTTGGTGCCACCTAATTCGAAGACGAACTTCGTTTTATCTTTGAAAACATTACGCAACGAGCCGGAGATAGTACCAGGACGTATTCATTTTTGCAAAAAGAGATTCTACCTCGACTCGACGTGATTATCGAATTTATTTCGATAAATTATATTGATAGCAAATTGATTTCGATAAATTATTTTGATAATCGAATTTTTATTTTTCGATAATTATTTGATATTATTGGGATATGATAATTTTTTAACAGAAGAAAATGAAAAAATAAAATAAAAAAGAAAAAAAATGAAACGGAAAAAAGAAAAAAAAGATAATATGTAAGCGGCATAGCCTGTATTTATGTTTTCTCTCTTTTTTTAAAGAATTATTTTTTAGATTTTTTTTTTTAGCTTTGTTTATATAATAAATAATATTCAATTTCTATTTTGTAATCATTTTATCATTGTATTTTAATTTTGTAACTTTTTTCATTTTTTGATACATTGGATTCTTATTTGAGATAAATTTTTCTATACAGTAGAAGAGAGAAAAAAAAAAAATGGATTATCTGTGGTGGAACAGAAAGAATAGCATTTCAACAATGTGGACAAGTTTCATGTTTCTGTGACATGTGTGCTTAGATGACATTAGAATATGAAAGTGAGTCTAGAGATAGCCGACAGTCGGGTTGAGTCCAATGTGTGGCAAGTGCAATAATTTTTATTTTAGAATTTGTATTTTTAATTGTATATAAATAAATTGATATGCATATTTTTTCTAATAATTTGTATATTTTTTATATCATTCTTTCTACTAATATTATTTCATTGGTTACAATTAAGTTATTTTTATTTTTGATATTTATTGTAGTTAACAACTATTTCTATATAATATTCGAATAGAAAGTGTGAAAGTGGAAGATATATGGGACATACAGTGCATGGAAAGTTGGAGAGATCAGTAGTTTTTTGTTTTTTTTTTATTTAAAAAATATTTTATTATATATTCAGTTAAATTTTATAATTTCTTTGTATAATATATATTTCTAATTATTATTAATGTTTTTTTTCCGATATGTATATATATATATATATATTATTGTAATATCATATCTTTTTATTAAACCTCATATTTGATCAATATTTTGTGGAATGCAAATGTTTTTTTTTTTAATTTAATTATTTTATCTTTCATTCTTTTTTTTTCCTTTTTTTTTTCTCGTTTTAGACAACTAATCTGTTTTAGAAATCAACACTTAAACATCAAGGTCCCTCTAGGCACAATGCATTATATATTTGACTCTCATGCAAAAGAAAATCATGCGCATATTATTTGGGTTTTACTTTTGGTATTTTTGTAACTGTGTATTTGATTCATTAATTTTTTAATTTTTTTCATTTATTAAATATTTATCTTGTTTAATTTAAATTTTTATTTTTTTTCTCCAACAATTAGCTTTTGTTTCGGTGCCAATGACTCATATTTTACGTGACGATGATTAAAATTTGGTTTATTACTTCTATTTATTTTAAATGTTTTCTTCCGTCAAGACCTAACAGGAAATATGAGGGGAAAAAACAATAAAAAATACTCATCCGGCCCACATAATTTGTTTCTATTTTCTATTTTCGTCCGTCTCACATAATTTGTCTTTTCTATTTTTGGATATATAATTATGCACTTTAATCGCATTTTAAATTTTAAATTTTATAATTTTCTTAATTTTAATTAAACTATTTAGTTATCTTAATTTTAATCTATAATTATTTTTACTAAATAATAATTATTTTTACTAATATACTTTTTAATTACTTACTAATTATATTTTACCTAAATTCCCGTGTCTACAGTAATACACTCATATTACATGGGATGAGTACATGGGACGGAGGGAGTAAAAGTAATTTTAATTTAATAGTGATAGAAAATTCATGCATTTATTCCTACAAGGAATAAAAAAATATGAGAAGATTTCAAATCACATCCTTTTTCTTTTCGATTTTTTTCTTTTTCTTTTATTTTTTG